TTTATAAAAACTTCAATTGAATTTCAATAAAGTTAAAGGCATGGCCTCACCATTAATATTTAAAAAAAAAAAAAAAACTAATTCAATAATACTATAATTAAACTCAATATTTGCAGTTAGGATTTACTAACAAACTCTTATATTTTTATAAAGTTTATTTTAATCCTAATACTTATTTTACAATATATTTTTATTACTTTGGTATTTAATTTAAGTTTTATCAAATACTTAGCTCAGATAGCTCAAAAAAGTATATATAACTCAATAATAATAATTAAATTATTTATAAATTTTTTGTTAAAATTAACTTTTAGTCATTATTTCACAAAGCAGAACTGATAGCTATTCTTTTAGCTATCTTTACTATACTACAAAATGCAATAGTCAACATCTTTACAGATTTCCAAACTATCATCACTAAATATACTAACATTTATATTACACTTTTTAATTCTAATAAATTTTTTAAATTCAATACATGCTTTATATAGTATATCTTATTAAATATTATTAAATTTTACAATCTCCAAATTAATTTTCATAAAATGCAAGCTCATACTAACAATAATCTAAACAACTTTGCTAATTTTCTTGCTAAGCAACATAATCTCTCTTTTAATTTATATGTTAACTATACTAATATTTACAACCTATACCACATATTATTCTGAAATCAACATTTTATAAAATATCTTACAAGAACATTTATCAAAAATATTTGCAAAGCCTACATTCTGACAATGTAATTATCACAAAAACAGAACCAAGAATGAAACAACTTATTTCAGAAATAGATTGAAGATCCACTTGGTTATACTTCAATCATAACCAAAAACCAACATATAATATAACTAACTTCAAACTAGTGATTTTATCTAATTAAAAAAATTCTATCCAGGTTATTTAATGGGTAGACCTATAGGTTACTCAGATAATACCTAGGTGATTAATAGATATATACAGGTATAAAATATTACCTGATATATCTGGATACAATCAGTAGAATTTTTTTTACTTATATACATACAAGGTTGTTTAAATTTATGAATTTAGTCAAATTTTTTTTTTAAAAAAAACTGTTTCTATTCGATATTTAATTTAGTATTAAATAATTTAATGTTTATAAATGCTCATTTTATTAATAAATTTATATTTGAATTTGCTTTGTATTTTTTACATTCATTCAATTAAAAAAAACTTTATTACATTATATTAGGCAATACAACATTATATAAAATTTTAAAAAATGATCTGTCAATTCAGCTTTTAATTTTATTTTCAAAAAATTTTATATATAAAAACTTTTAAATTTTTTTTAGATTTCTGAAAAAACTAGCTCATCTAGTAAATATAGGCAAAATTTTTTTCAAAGGTCTGCAGATTTTGACCTGGTTGGATTATAAAAACTAATTTATTAAATTGCATAACCTTATGTTACTAGTAAGTTTTTTTTTTATATTGTAGTATTTGAAATATATGGCACAATTTTAAGTAATTTATTTATTACTAAGTATATTTAATTAAGTGAAAAAAAAGCAAAGTATTAATTTGTTCAAGTTTTTTTGCAATATAAGCTATTTTACTTGACAAATAACAATTCATTAACCACCTTAGGTAATAATTGTGTTCTTTTGAAGATAATCTGATTTTCTATATTAGAAAAAAGTTGTACACTTGAAACAGAAGTGGTGGGAATCAATACATATTTACATGTTATTTTACTTAATATGGAGAAGGTGTTCTTGTTATTATGCCACCATTGATAAACATCTTTACCTTTAAGTTGTAGTGATGTAATTGTTTTGTTTAAGTAGTTATTTATCTTTATATCATAATTTGTTAGATTCTGGCTATGGCTAATTATTCTTTTTATAAAAATGGATGTAGCTGAAAAAAATTTCTTTGCTCTGATGATTAAATCTGATTCATTGGCTGTAACTATATTTTGTTAGTCTTTAAATTCAGAGCATAATTTATCTATTGCTTGGTTGTTGTTTCTTCTAACCATACTTGCATTGATTTTAGGCATGAATTTAATAAGGTTGCAATTAAACCTATATATTCTGAGTTATAACAGTAATGATTAAGAAAATTAATCATATATAATGATTCTAATTTTCAAAACTATTTTTTCATTACTGCTAGATATATTTTGAAATTGATTATTGTTTGTAGCTGGTTGTTGAATATCTATATCATCTAAGCTTTTATCATCAAAACAATCATTATCTAATGATATTTTACCTAAAATTTAAAGGTAATATTAATTGTTAAATATTTAATTAATTTATTAAAAATAAAAAAAGAATTATTTTACACTTATTATCAATATTAAATTTATTCTTATCTGTAATTTCAAGTTTATGTTCAAACATATCACAGTTAGCAAATTTAAGCTTTAATGTTTTAATAACTAAATTTACTACTAAAAGAGTAGTATATTGGGTTCTACTAAGATAAGTTGTTAGATTATCAAATGGTTCAAATACATTTACTAATTTTTGTAACAACATCCATTCTTCATTTTTGAGCATAAGGCATTTTAATTTTCAGAAGTCTTCTTTATTACCTTCTTTATTTTGTAAAGGCAAAATTGTGTCAAGCTATTCAATGACTTGACACAACACTAAAAGCCTTTTCCAGAATTTGTAGCTTGAGTTCCATCTGGTTTTTACTTTACTAATAGTGCACAAAAGTTTAATATTTGTTTTAATTTTTTCTGAATTTTTATTATTATCAGTTTCTATTTCTGATAGTAAATTTTCAGGCAAGTTATCTGAATCACATAATTGAACAGAAATTAAAGTAATACTGTTATAATGAGCTAATTTAATTTTCACTTAATTAAGATATTGGCTTTGCTTTATTGCTTTAAAAAATTTAATAAGTTTATTAACTTTTTTGATATATGGTTTGATAGTTTTCAAAGTTCAGATTACTGTAAGCTGAAGTATATAGGCTGAACAAGTGAGACATTCTATACTATTCCAGTTTTTAATAGCCTTTTTCATATTTGCTCCATGATTAGTTATTGCACAAACTATTTTTCCAGTTAATCTAAATTCTGTAATTTGTTGATCCAAATATTCTTTAATTCTTTTATTAGTGTGTAGGTAGTCCAACTTTTTAACAGCCAATATTACATCTTGAACTTCAAAATCTAATGTCAGCCAGTAAAGAGTTACAGCAATGTATGCATCATTACTTCAGAATATCCATAGGTCTGTAGTTATTGAGGCAGTTTCACATATGGTGATAATTAATTCTTTTAATTCTTATATACTTCTTTGATAAGCAATGATAAGCTTTTTTTTAATACATTTGCTATTTGGAAGTATGAATGCTGGGTTAAATCTATTTATCATTTTTCTATAGCCTGCTCCATGAATGGTATTAAAAGGCAAAGAGTCTGTGACTAACTACTCTGCTGTATTCCTTCTTAGTTTCACTTGTATGGGTCTTTTATAAGAGGTTATTTTTTTAAGCATTTGGTTAATATGCAATTAATCTTTTTTGCTTAAGCTTGGTTTTAGATTATTAGGTCCTAAGATTCTATGCTTTGATTAAAGATGAATTTGCATATTACTGGTTCCACTATCATATTTGTAATTTGTTCCACATTACTTCTCAACTCCTTTCTTAAATACTAATATCTTATAAGATACACAACCATTTCAATTTTAAAATAATCCCAAACATAGCTCAGTCTTTTGTAATCCTGATTAGTAATATTTACTTTGATTTTTTTCACATTTTTTTTTTCAAAAGCTTATCATTCTTAATATTAGTTATTTTTTTGGCTTCATTACTAGAAAAGTCAGTATTATTATCTTGAAGTTCATTATTAGAATCAATAAAGAAGTTCACTTAAAGATCAATATAAATGTTAGTATATGAATTGTTGTCAGAAATATATTCATTATGCTCCATGGTGTTAAATAACTAGAAGCATAAAAAGTTAATATTTTTAGGATTATACTAGTATTACAGTTTTGTAATGCAAGAACAGAAGCAGTTTTAATTTAGAAGTATTCAAAATAATAAGTAAAATATAATTCAGATAGGTAATGCAATATATTGCATTTATTTAAATCAAATGATTTATTTACAAATTTTTAATTTTTAACAGAGAAAAAATTTTGACTTTTATATATTTTGAAGTAATTAAAAATGATATCATTTTTTTTAAATTATATATAAGAAATACAAATATTTAAGCATTATTTAATCCTGAGCTTTAACAATTTTTTATAGCATAATCTGAAATTTAACATTTTTTTATCGCATGCTCTATAACATTGATTTTACAACTGTAAATTTCATAATTTTCTATTTCTTATTTTGCAATGATTTTTTTATTTAAGTTTTATAGACAGCATGCAGACCCTAGGCCATATAATGCAAGGCTCTGCATTATCTTATTTCACTAATGTTTCAGAATTTTAGCACTATGTTTGTTGTAGATTATTTTTATATGTAATGTGGTATATGCATATAGGTATAAGATTTTTTTTGATAATTTTTTTGTTGTTTATTTCTGTTTCAGTAATTACATTTCAGCATTTTAGCTAAAACTTTAAAACAAATAAGTAAACAAACAAACAAATAAGACTAACGAAAGCTATAACAAGATTATGATTTTGAAAAAAATAAAGATTTCTATTTTTAAGAGCTAGTGGAATTCTATATTATTCCAAACTAATATAAAAATTCAAAATCTTTATTTTCTATAGATAGAATTTATTTGGTATTACTATTAAGGTATTTATAAATTATATTTTTTATTAAAACATTTATATTTTAAAATTGTATTTCAGTGTTCAAAATTTTAATAATATACAATATAAACCCAGCAAAGTAAGAAGACCAAAAAACCACCCATAGCAATAAAATTATAAATTTTACAATATGACAGTTGTAATAATCTTATTTGATTAAACAAAGACAAGTTGTAATAGCAGATTAAAAAGGAACTTTAAAATAGTAATGTTGCTTTTTTTCATCACAGATATCAGGTTTAGTGGAAACTGGTAGAACAAGTAATACTTGAGGTTTATTCTTTTAGAGTTCAACTCCATATTTGTTTTTATATTTAGAGTAATAGTAGTCAATATTATAGGAATCTGGCTCTTGAGAATTAGTTAATGTAGACATTTTTTGGAGTTATTTTTGGAATTAGAATGTGACAAATAAGGGACATGATGACTAAGAAGGTATGACAAATAAGGAATGTGTCAAATAAGAGGGTGTGATGTTTAAGGTAACACCCAGTATGACACTTAAGTGATCGATGTGATTACTGTATAACAAGAGTTGTATAATTTGGTTAAGATTAAATTGGTAAAAATTAAAAATAAATAAAACAAAGTTAGATTTATATAAATAGATTAATAATATTGATTAGTAATTTAGATTTGCAGGTCTGGGACATCCTAGAGGACCAGAATCCCTCAAAAAAGTAAAAAAAAATTTTTGCAAAAGTAAAATATAGTTTCCAAGAGAGTTTTGAAGTATTTTAACTATATAATTATCAGTTTTAAACTATTTATAATGTATAATATATCAAAATGACAGCAAGAATGAGCTGAACAAGTTTGTTCTATATAACAACTATGATTTATTTAATAAACTTTTGAGTTTTTGCAAAAAGAAGAAAATTACAAAGTTTAGTTATATTCTAGTAATAAAAGCCTTTAAAGATATAAAACTGGGCCGCCTATATGTAAAATTCTGTTAGGAACAATTTTACTTAGGCAGCCAAAGTAGATTTACTTAATAAAAAATTGAGAAAAGAGTAATTATGTTTAGAGAAAATTTGGTACAAGTAATCATTAGGAAGAGTTAATGATTTGTGTCTCCTAATTTGAATACATTTACTTACTAATATTTAATATAATATATGATTAATACTAACAATTCTACAAATAATAAATTTAGGCAATTAGAATTAAAGATACAAATACAACTTAAATTTGTCACAAATATAATGAATTATAACAAAAATGCTATAATTTATTATAATCATGATCAATTACAGTATTGTACTTGCACCTTTAATCAGAATTAAACCTATTTAGTAACAGATTATAAATATTAAAATAAATAGAAAATATTACATATTTAAAATATATTACTTAATAACAAATTCTTATAGAAACTAATTATCTTAATTAATATAAGCATTTTATACTATTCTGTTCAACTCTAATTTCTAAATCAACTTAATGTATTTTATTAGAATTTCATGTCTGCTAATTTTTAACAATAAAAATATTTTTATTTTATATTAATAGCAGTATATTGTAGATAATTTTATAATATTAAAGATTATATTAGATCTAAATATAAATATTTAGAAGTTAGTTTTGTATAATAATTAAGGGGTAGATCACAGATAAAAGGTATAAATTTGATATAGTTACATGGCAAAGATCAATTATAACCAACCTCTAACATGTCATTTTGGCCTTATAATAAACTATTGGCATTTTCAAAAAAACACAATTTGATTTTAAAATTCAATAGAATATAACTATTAAAATCAGTAACTTAAATAAAATTTTATCTTAAGACGAAAGTTAAAAACTTTACTCAGTAAACCATGTGCATTCGGGTCAGAATAATTCAGGTTCTCTAACAATTTCGATGTTAATTATTCCAAAAACACTTTTTTTTTTTGAGTTATTCAACTAGACATACTGACTCACCAAGATTATTTAGCATTATAATAAAAATAGAAGTAAAATTGTTTATTTCAATAACTTCTATGATTTCATTCTTTATATTATAACATTTCTTTCACAAAAATTATAAATTATGTGATTTCGATTCTCATATCTTATTTCAGTCTAGTTAACTCATCTTTTTTTTCAGGTTCATACTGAAAATTGATCTATATTAGACTGATCTCTATGGTAATGCACTTTTTTAATAGTCTATATTCAATCGAGGGTGTGTATGTTATGCTTGAAGTTAGTATTTTCTTGAAGTTACAACTTCAAGTTCCTGAAGCTGCACCTGCCTAAAGTTACCAAATTATGCATTCAAAAGATCTAATTTCAAAGGCTTAATTTCATTCAGTATAACTTTAAGTGCGATATCATATACATTATATATAAGGGTCTTATATTAAAGCTGCAAGTTATGAAATCGAAATTTGATTTTAAAAGTTGATATGCTACTTTTTAGCTAAGTGGTCTATTATTATTGTTCTTTTTAATTAATCTTTGAATGTTATTTATATTATTTTTTATTAATGATGATTTATCTGCATTCACCATAATGAACTTCTGATATAGTAAAAAACTTCAGTTAATGTAATTTGAATTTAAATTAGACATATAAGTTCAATTGAAATTCATAAGTTCATTGTTTTAGTCATAATCAACTAAATTAGTTAAGAGTAACTTGTATTTAGGAAAGTTATTTTATTAGTATAGACTAGTGTTTTGGGTGAAATTATTTTCCAAATTCGAAATGTTTCGCCTAGAGGAATTTTAATTTTACCCTAGAAGTCCAAAACCCTCTGAAACTAGTTTTGCCCAATTTGATCTGCAAATGATCTGTAAAATTGGATTTCATTTGAAACACTAATATAGACTTAGCCAACATACATTAATACTATGTTATAGTATATATATGAATTCGATGTTTTGTATTTACGTATTCATAGTCTAAATAAAGCTTATTTTGTGAATGAAATCTCAAAATATTCAATTTACTTATCTAATCCAAAATTTACATCATAAATCGAATATTTATTTTATGTTATCTTATTTATTAGATTATTTGACAGTAAATTCATTTTTTATTAGCAATTTTTCATTTTATTAATAGTAATCAATTTGAATGTTCACAATATCAAATTTTGATGATAAATGAACATCTTATGTTTATTCTTTACAACCCTATTTTAAAATAAAATAATAAGTTATGAAATTTTGAAATTTAAAATAAGATGAAGTATAAATGCTACTATATTTATTAATCTTTGCCAATTGATGAAGAACTCGTTGCTTTAAAAGTTTCAAGTGTAATGACAGTCTCTTGTTAGTTAAATTCCCTCAAATATTGTTCAATCCAGTTTTGAATAGTGATAACTTTGGGCACATAGTCCTCATCGATTTCTCCAGAATGTGTAAGCTCCAACAACTCCTCATACATTTCTTTGGCTGTAAGCTTGTCTTTGGGGTTTAGATTACTATTAAGAAAAAATTGTTTTAGATAGTCAATGACCTTGGTTTTAATTTTTTTTCTACTGCCTTTTTTGCTGAATTTTGTGTTTTCTGGAAGTGCCCAACCCTTTGGCATCTGAAATTTATTTTCTAAATTTCTAAAGAGACTCGTGTTAGTTAAAATTAAATAAATAAAATGTCAATAGCTCTACAAACATTTCTCCAGAATTATCCATCTCAGCTGATTTTTGATCATAAATAAATGCTTTAAGTTCATTCATTTCAATTCCAATAAAATTGGAATTTTCCATTTCTGCAGGTTTTTGAAAATGAATGAATGCCTTCTGCTTATCCTTTTTAGCATTGTTTTCTAAATAATCATGCAAAACAAACTAACTATTATTATTTTTTTTAACTAAGGTCAAGTTCATATCTTGATTACCCTTTATTGCTGATTTTTGATAATAATTGAATGCATTTTGTTCATTCCTTTCAACTTCAATTTTATTGAAACTTTCTATTTCATCTGATTTTTGATGAATGAATGCGTTCTGTTCATCACTTCTGACTTCATTTTCTAAATAGATACCAAAGTAAATAAATTATTATCACATTAAATTGCATTTTGGCCAAACTAAAAAGATGACCATTTTTCATGACAAAACATTTGGGATACAAGTGCAGAATAAATAGTTCTTATCCTCAATATCCATCTCTTGATGATCGTCTTCACTATTGAAATATACAATGTCTATTTTATGAACAATATAAGTTAGTAACTGTAAATAGTTCATAAATTTACAACTTACCC